CATGAGTGGTTCGATGTGTGATTATGGTCAAAGGCAATACTAGAGAGAGAAGGTGGCAGTGAGTGAAGGTGGTATTAAGTGAAGGTGGTGTGTGTGTCTGTGTTGTGTGTGTCTGTGTGTGTGAGAGCAGCGTGAGCAGAGGCACAGACGGGAACTGAGCCGTCACCCGGGGGTGAGGACCCAGCATGAGGGTCCAGGCCCCCAAAGACGCTCCTGGCCACAGATGGAGCTGGAGCCCAGAGAAGGGCCGGGTGGCATCCCAGACAGCACAGCGAGTCGGGGTGGAGGGAGCCGGTGGGAGCCCCTTCTGCAGCTCTTCTGGGGGTGGGATTTCAAGGAGTCCCCTGAGGTGTGCAGCCCAGTCCATCCTGCTCCCATGTGTGCTCACTCCTGGAGGACTCCGCCCTCTGATGCCTCCTCACCGCCCACCCCATGTGGCCTGTGCCCATTGCCCCGCACACCAGCCCCTGCTGGGTCTACTCCCAGCCCGACAGCCACTCTGCAGACAGTTCTGCCACCCCCCTGCATCTCTGGCCCGCACCCCAAGCTCACGCAGGATCTGTCACGCTCCCCTGCAGCTCCAGCCACCACTGCAAAGCAGTAAGAGCTGGAGTTAGGGGTTAGCCGGCTCGGGTCCTGGCTCTGCAACTCGGGGCGAGCAATTGAACATTTGCGAGCTTCTATTTCCTCATCTGTAAAACGGGGGCAATGTTCCCTCAAATTTGAGACCCGTATTTTCTGTAGAAATTTGGGTGCATCTTAATTCAAGGCACACATTGAAGGAGAGGATATTTCTTTCTTTCCCTAAAATGCTGTCAGTCAAAGCAGTGTTCGCTCTTCCAGATAATGGCGTGTTGGAACTAAGGAAATTCGGAAACGCCTCTCACGGGGGTGGCTTCCGACGTGTGGTCTGTGCAGGACTGTTCGCATGCACGCAGCCCTCAGTGGACATCAGTGATCGCCAGGAGGATCCCAGCGAGGCCGGCTCCGCGCCTGGCGTCCCCTCACACCCGGGGTCTTGGAAGGAGGGCCACGTCTGTGTCCCCCGCACCGGCTCAAGCCCCCCACAAGAGGCCTCAGCGCAACTGGTGACCAGAAGTTTCTCGCACCCTCAGCCTGAAGAGCCTGCCGGCCCAGCTGGCCAGGCCCTCCACGGGGGAGGGGCAGGGCTTAGCTCTGCATCCCTTGTTTCTCTGGAAAAATATGCATCCTGGAGGTGCGAGGTCTGGAAGGCCCTGAGCCACCTAGCAGAGGGCACCGGGAAAACCAAGTGTTTACGGGATTTACACACAGGAAGCTTTCCGCAGCGCCTCGGCCCGCGGCAAACTCCGCGCAGCAACAGGAGGCTGTGTGAAGGGGAGGGACTTCCAGGCCCGGGTTTCTGCTCAGCCCCGGCAGGAGCCGCTCCTTCCACTGAGCAGGGGCTGGGGAATGGGGGTGGGGGGCCTTCCTGCCGCCCACCCTCTGAGGGCACGGAGGCTCCTCTTAACATCACAGAGGCCACCAACGCTGGCCACCGGCCTTCACGTCCACCCTGGGCAGGCCGAGGCCTCTGGGCTTCCCTGCAGGAGGGCCCAGTGCCCAGCGTGTTGCTGGGTAAATAAGTGGATGGGGCCTGGAGTGAGGGAAGCATGTCTGAGTTTTAAGTGCTGACCCTTGAACTTGGCCGGTCACTTAGAAAAAGTCTCAGTCGAGTCTCCCCTGTGGAGAATGGACAGCGTCACCAGCTCTCCAATAGTCATTATTTCCCAGGCCCCGTGCCCAGGTCCCAGCATACTTTCAAAGGCCCATGAAAATGTTTTAGTCACAATCTTTTTAAATCAAAAGCAAAATATAAATACAGTACTGTGTCTCTCACAATGAACCTGGCCCAGGTTATCTGTATACCAATGCAGGTGTCAGATACAAAGTTCATGTATTTTCCCCCAGCTCACTGCATCATCCCACCCCCTGCCCCAGGGCTGGCCAGGCTCGGGGTCCTTCTGTCCCACTACGCCCCCAACCCTGGCCACCTGTGGGAGGCGTCTCAAGCCGTCCCGCCCTCAGGACTGGCGCCCAGAGCGGTCTCAGGTCGCCACTGAAATGTCACGTCCCCTCAGAAGCTTTCCTTGCAGCCCTCTTCCTGACCTTCACGGCACTGAGCACCCTGACCAGTACGTGTGAATTAATTTGCTTGGTGTTGAACACCCATCTCCCCATCCCAACCAGCTCCATGAGAGTAAGGACTGGGTCTGCGTGATCCACCGCTGTCGCCCGGTGTCAGCCAGCGTGCTGGGGTGAGCTACCCAGAGGCCCCTCTGGATGAAAATCTTGTTCCTGGGGCTTGGGGGTGCCTCTAGCAGAGAGCTCTCGGCTCTCCTCCCCTTTTGGAGATTGCTTTCGCCTAGGAGAGCACCCTCTCCCCAACCTGGAATATGCTTAGCCCTCTCGCCTGCCTTGGGACAGCTCTGACCGATCATCCCAGCTACAGAGCTCCCTTTGGGCTGGGCTGGGGTCTCGACTGAGATTATGTCTCAGCTCGACTTCACCCTCTCCAATCCTGCGGCTTCCCATCCATCGCACAGGTGAAGACCCGAGGGCCCCCCAGCCCAGCACCCCGTGTCTGCTCTCCATCTCGGAGTTTGTGTTTCCAGGGGCCCATCAGCAGTGATGGCGCTTCCACACGTGGCCCTACTCTAATCTGGACGGAATGAGCGAGGAAGGACTCTATCAAGAGAAACAGGAATTTATTAAGAGCCTACTGACATTTCTTGATTTGTATCTGCTGAAGAGATTTTGAGACAGTTTTTCTTGAAGCCTTCTCGGGGGCTATCACAGGAAATGTTGAGGCGACTTATTCTGTGAGGTAAGGCATGGCCTCTCCCCTTCCCCACTGCATCCAAGTAGCTCTGCTGTAGTCCAGCTTTATGCACTGGGTGTCTGCATCTAATGTTGTTTGAAGGAAAGTTTCTGCTGTTACCAAAAAATTTTTTGGAAACCACTGCCTGAGGTAACCCAGTAATGCCCATGATGGCAGTGACAGCAGGTGTCTCTCCTATGTCCTCTGCGTCAGGCATGCCACACGCATCATCTGATCCTCACATCCATCCCACCAGGTCAAACACACTCCTTATCTTATAATCCAGGATGCTGAGGCACAGAGACGTTAAGGGAGATGTCCAAGGTCACACAGCTGAGGGCTGCCACAGCTAGGATTTCTACTGGTGTTTTATGAGATTGAATCCCAGGAGCTGACAGAGATGCACAATTTAGGATCACAGCCTCTAGAACACAGCTGATCACAACTCTCTTGAATCCTTTCTGAAGACAGCACCCAGCTTTTCTTGAAAATCAAAAGCCCAGCAGACTTCCTTCTCTGCTCTTTGCTGTGTCTCTTCTTAGGGACAGACTGCCTGAAGCAGGGGAGGTGGGTGGGAAGGAGGAAAGAGCAGGAAAAAGCATAGTTGAATATTTAAAAAATTATCCCAGCGGCCCTCTGAAAGCCCAGACTTTTTATTTCACAGGTGGAGTGACGGGGGCAGTGAACTGCCCACGGGAGTACAAAGTTCAGTGGCTCCCTGCTTCCAAGCCAGGCCAGGGCTCCGTCTGTTCTGCCAGGCTGCTTCCCTTACTTTTAAAACCCTCTAGAATGAAGACAAGGCTTTGTCCATGGCCCCTGTTCTCTAAATACCAAATCCTATCTTGGGGGAAAAGCCTGACCTCAGTGCACCGCGCTGGGGGCCCTGGGCTCCGAGGAATCCGAGCACCGTGGTGGTTGCCAAACTCCATCTAATCCAGTTTCCTAATGTGGTTTATTTAGCATTAAGCTAAGGTCCTGGGACCTCATCAGGAAAGGAGGGCAAAGTTCCTCAGGGTCCCCGAGGAGAGATGCTTGGACCGAGTTTGGCCTGTGTTCTCCCCAAGGATCCAGGCACAGTGAAGACAACATTTGAGAGTCGGCCAGGCGGGCCTCACCCAGCTCCAAGGAGCCCAGGCTCTCCTGCGCTGGAGTGGGTTCCCTGGGTCCATGGTACTGCCTCGGCTTGGAGCTCCACGGCTTAGTGAGCAGGCGGGCCCGGAGAGGAGCTCCACCCTCAGCCTCCTTCCCTGTGTACCACTGTGGAGCAAAGAAGAGGGCGCCTTATCCAGAAAGCTTAGCTGGTCACTTGGTTTAGAAAAAGTGGGAAGGACACTCATTGGCTGCCGGATTGATGTCAGTTTTATTTGAACCTCGTTTCCTGCACTCTCTGCCCGTACCCACCGGTGTCCCGCCACTGTGGGGCTCTTGTACAATGGCATGGACACATTTTATTCGCTGGATTCCTCTTTGGACAGAATTGTATTTGTCAGAGACAGTCCTACAAGGAAGGCAGTGTTCATGGGACATGAACGAGCTTTCTGGTCAACCTTACTGCCGCATCCTGGAGCATAGGTAATGCTGGGCAAAGCTAAACAAGCCTGAGGTTTTCAGTAGGCTGTGCCACCACTTCTTGGGCAGATGCATGCTTTCTGTTGGACTCTGGTCACATTAGGATGAGGTGAGGGGCGCCCCCCCTCCCTCCTCCACATGCATACCTGTTCCTGTTCTCGTGGCCGTCTTGGGTATGAAGTAGCCCAGGCTGGAAACCTCATCTCTGTAATCCAGGATGCGACAGTAAGGTTGACCAGAAAGCTCGCTAATGTCCCATGAACACTGCCTTCCTTGCAGGACTGTCTCTGACAAATACAATTCTGTCCGTAAAGAGCTTCCTAATTATTTTCTCCAACTACACAATACTCCACTGAACGGAAGTCCTGCTATTTATTTAGTGTCTTGATGGCATTTAGTTTATTTTCATTCTTTAACTTTGCAAACAGAGCTGCAATGAACAGCCTGCACATCCCTGCTTTGCTCACACGAGCACACCTCTGTAGGACAGATGCCCCGCGGGGACCTGCGGGCTCACAGGGCAGGTCAAGGTCTCCAGGGTTTCCACCATGGAGATTAATAATCGAAGTTCAAGCTGGTCTGTTTCCCCACTCCTTGACAACTCAGGGCTTTATCAAACTTATTTTTGCCGTTTCCAGGGAGGAAAATCACAGCTTATTTTATTTTGAGATTTTCTTATTGTGAATGAATTTGAGCATTTTGCATGTTTAAGAGCCATTTCTATTTTCTTTTCTGCGAACTGTCTTCATATCCTTGCCTGGTTTCCTCCTGAGCTGTTGGTCTTTTTCTTATTCATTTGTAGGAGATCTTTATATATTCGAGAAATTGCCTTTGATACATAGCACAGGATACAAGAATTTTTTGCCGGGTTATTTGTCTTTTGATTTGTTTCTGATGCTTTGCTCATAAAGAAATTTTTCATATTTAGCTATCTAAATTTATGTCTTTTATGGTTTCTGAGTTAAGTGTCATACTTAAAAGACCTTTCCCACTTCAAAATTATTTTTAAAAATACCTTATGTTTTCTCCTAATTTTTTTATTAAATTTGATTAAGTTTCTTTTTAATTAAATACTTGATCCAGTTGGAGTTAATCCTGGTATAAGTTTTGAATTGTTGATCCTAAATTGTTTCTTTAATCCTATGTTATTTAATGAATAATTCACTTTTCCAAATTGCAGAGGTGGCCACAGCCTGGTCTTGCCAGGAACTGTGAGAACGCGTGAGCTGAGGCCCCCGAGCTTGGAGGGAGAGCCATGTGGGAGAGATGCCAGAGGCAGCACAGGGAGGAAGGAGGTGAAGGGAACCTCCACCTCCCGCCTCTCTTGCTAAGGGTGAGCCCTCCTCACAGCCGACCCCATTGGCCGGCCCATCGCCTCAACCTCCTAGATGTTCATCAACTGAGAGGATGAAGTTTTCAGAAGAACATCCTCAAGTCAATAAGAAGATGGACTGACAGATAAGAAAAGGGAAGAAGGACAAATCTAGGTAAAATAAAAGGTGAAAATAGCATTAAAGTAAGTACCACTAACTAGTAGTAGTTTAAAACCCAGCCTGCGGTGAGGTCCGTCCCCACAACCCTAGTCTTTCAGATCTGGGTGACAAACCCTTACTTCCCTGGAAGATTTAGGGAATCCTGGACAAAGCACCTAGCACGTGCCTGGCACGTGGCAGAATCTTCCTCTGTGGCTGCATTGCTCAGCCTGGCTGCAGACGGTCACAACTTCAGGATCTGAAAGGGGACTCCTCGGAGATGAGATTGAAAAATAAGCTTAAAGAGTTCAAAAGAAACCAAGTCATCAGTGTAAGAGTTTAGGCCTTAGGAGAAAAGGGAATGAGCCCAAATTTGAGTTTTGGTTTTCTTGGAGGTGGGGGTTGGTTAAAGGTGAAGCAGTGAACAGCAGGCAGGTACAGCTGGTGGTCGAGGACCTGCAGACCCCCGGGGGCTCTCAGTTCCAGGGAGCCACGTGGGAGCAGAGTGGAAGGTAGGACCCTTGGCGCCCCGCACCCCGTGGAGATTAGGTATGGGGAGAAGACAGGGCCTGCTGCTCCTGCCCGCAGCCCAGGGGGGACAGCACAGCCTTGGCTCCTGGTTTGAGCCTGAGCCTCCTGCAACCAGTGTCCAGAGCCTGTGGCAGCCCCAGGCCGAACACAAAGGTCCCAACTGAGCCGAAGTGAGCTTGGCGTGGGGCACAGACCCCCAAGAGCCCACTTTCCTCCGTACAGAGTTGATGAGCCCCTCTGAGTGACAATACACGTCCCAACTGGGCCAGTGAGAGGGGAAAGCAAGCTCCCCCAACATGCTCACAGATGCTTCCCTTGACCCTGAAGCCTCGGGGCCAAGTCTGTGTACCTTCCCCCAACCT